AAAACTCCAAGCTTATTCATAATACATATCGTCACATACATATACATCATCGTAGAAATGTGTTTTTGCTGTTTTTCAAAAATTTGTCACCTGGTTTTTTTTCACTTCATAGGTGGGGTAAAATAGAACGGCCATAAGCAATAGGTTTAATATCTTTTTAATTTTAAAGGGATTTTACGTAATAATAGCTACAATATTAAACCAATGCAAAATATAAGTTTTATGGTTACATTTTTACAGAGACTAAATATAATCTTGGTATGGCATTTTGCAGAAATATTCATAAGCAAAGTTGGAATAATAAATATTAGTTTAATTTATTTTGTGTGAAATTATTTCTTTTAACTGGATTTACATTTTGATTTACTGTTTTATTATTTACGCCTTTGCTAGTGTAAAGCTTCAGTTGATCCTTTTAACCCCATCCACTTATAAGCTTTTACATAAGTGTTATAAAAAAACTGTTGAATCTGATTTAAAATTAACAACACATCTTATAAAACAATTAAATATGGTTGCTAAAAATTATATTAAGGTCTCGCAAACCATGCACGAGTGCTCAAAATCAAAAACATTATACCAACGAAAGAAAATACTTTTGTTATGGATTTTCAAACATTGACGGTTTTCTCCTAATATCGACCTCATAAAAATCAATGTTATGACTGGTCATATATCTTTTATCCTTTGCTTTTAAAAATTGTTTTTAAATCTATACTATATTGTATATAAAGAATTATGTTCAGTGAAATTCCTAGTTTCTATTTATAGAAATATGTTTTTATTTTTATGTTTCTAAAACTTGTCTTCATTTCCTTTTTGACCAATGCGCGTTTAAGAAGGGACAGTCAGGGAGCAAGCAGATCCAACATCTTTTTCTATTTCTTTTTAAGGGATTTTACGAAATAATATTTAATTTTAATTGAATAATAATTTAATTTATTATTAAACCAACGTAAAATGCAATTTTTATGGGAAAAATGCTTAATAATTTTATTATTGAAAATTTTCGAATAAAAAAATAAAAACCTAAAAAATAACATGACATATGCTATTGCACTTCGACGTGCGAGAGAGAAATATTTGAACTGAATGTGAGCGAAAAAGCCGTTTTCGTATTATTTTTAGGTTTTTATTTTTTTACTCAAATTTTTTTAATAATCAAATTATCAAGTATTTCAGCATTTTAAAATCCAACACACTTTAATAGATTTTTTTCCAAAGCGTAACTCTTAAAATTGATAGGATTTAACAATTTTAAATTTATAGTTCAGCAATAAGACTTCATTCTTGAAAACTCATTACATTTGTGCTCATTTTTTAACTGTTTGCTTAGAAATGTTATTATGGTTCCAAAGTTTAAATAGATGAAATTGATAAAAATTAACCACAATAACCGAAAAATGGTCATTATTTTTCCAAAGCTCTAGATCAAACCTAATAGCTCATAATTGCAAACATCGTGAAATAATTCTTTCACTAATTATTTTTCAGGATATATTTTGAATTATACATTTCATGTTTCTGATATGGAGCTTTGGGTAATATAAACGAGAAAAGTACATATACGATTTGAACCTGAATATATTATTCTAAGATTTGATATTTTTTGTACTATTTTAAAATGATTTTTAATTTCCAAAATGGATTTATAAATGCTTAAAAGTTTAGAGTTTCAATCTAGCATTTTTAATATTTAATATTTACTACAAAAACATTAAAAATTTAGTTGTGTGACAAATTGAATACAATAACACAAATTGAATGTTTTATTAATTATTCAGATTCATAACTACTCTTTTTCAAGCAATATAATGAATAAGTAGCCCTGAACCTCTATGAAAAACTTTTTTATATTGTTAAATTTTTGAAGTTATATTTAAATAGGTCAAAGATTTATACGCATAACAAATATGCTTGTCAATACACAAAGTTCCGCTACTTCTCTATGACGAATATACTCGTCAAACATAGTTAACTCGTTAATTGTTAAAACTTTTTGGCGATTTCAATGAAATTTGAACAAACATACTAAAATATAGGCATATAAGCAATCAATTAAAAATTAAATCGATTAAAAATTGAATTTTGTTATTATATTTCTCATAGCTTACTCAGCATGACTCATCTGCCAACATCTCTGTTTGTGCTTCGAAACCCAAGAGGAATGGAATTCGAACTAAATCTGCCAATCAAGCATTTTATAATCAAGGTAATATTATAAAATAGTAACATTCTGTTATAATTTTAGTTTTAGTCAGAATTTTTATGATCAAATAAGGTGCCGTTTGCCGAAATTAATTTTTTTGATATTAAATCTTTTGATATGGATATTTTATAACCAAGATTAGTCATCAAACTTTCAAAGAAATTATTCAGCAAAGTGAACTTTAACTACTAGCGTATATTATCGGTCAAATATTGATTTTTATGCGTTTCTATCAGATTTTCTGCTAAACTAGTAAAATTAATATTTTGAATCATTTACTTATGTGATAATATAGTTATGAACCTTTCCTCTAACTATGAAATGGCCTTGAAATTAGAAGAATTGTTTTTTTGTTTTCAATAATCAGCCTGTGAAGAAAACATGTGAAAAAATACAAAAATATAATAAATCATATTAAATAACAAATAATTCACCAAATTACACTTAACACTTCACCTTATCACGTCTTACATTCTTGCAATTGAATGTAATTTTAAAAGTTTTATTTTTTAATTCAATAATGGGTAAACCAAAATATGGTAAAGATTATTCAAAATTTTGTAATCAAGTTTTTGCAATTTTCTTTTCTTTACTGATCGTTTTTGCTTTAAGAAAAGTATAATGTAATGTATTTAGGTAAAATGTATAACTTATTTTGAAAATAATATTTATAATATTATAGTATATTATTTCAGGCTAAAAAATCTCTCGTTATGGTTAATATAACGTTTTATGAGAAACGTGACTTTTTTTCAAAATTTTATTTGCTAAGAAACAACAAAGAACTTTAAAAAATCGCATAAAAATTGTTTCAAGTTTAAGTTAAGTAAGCATTTATAAAGTTCTTATAGCTACTTAAAATGGATGTATGGTTAGAATGAATGGTTTCTTGTCTTAAATGTACATTTTTGCAACGTGAAAATAAACTCCAAATTAGATTTAATTATTATATAATAAACGGTTTTTGCATTTTGTTCATCGCAGTATTTAATTATTATCATTCGCTTCAAAGCCTAACCCGAATGCAATTATAATTTTGAAAATTTCTTTCATTGTGATGCGAAGTTTTCAAGCGGTCCTACGTTTTTTTGCACTATTTTTCACTCAGATTTTAATTACGAGATATTTTTGCGTCGTATATCGCCTCGAGGACGTGTTTGAATCTTTGTGTATTAAAACTTCTATAAAATTATAGTGTGCGAGATTTTGGAAAGATTTAACTCTATTAATCACTCAATACTAATCACTATGAGGCCACCTCGCCAACATGATATACCGAAAGCCATAAATCATCAAAAAATGTCAGCCCTTAATCATCCCGCAACTACTAATTTTGTTTAAATCGCAGGTTTACACTACCCGTGATTAAAAAAAGCAATTTTCGCTATTTAAAAATTTACAAAGTAGTTAAGTTTTTGTTTTAAGTGATCTAAGCTGAAATATTTATTTTAGTTTTGTGCGACGTTCGGCTGAAGCCGTTTCTTGTAATTAGCAGAATAATGTAAAAGTTTTCATTCACGATTCAGCCCACAATTTTTAAGTGATTTTAAAAATTCAAAAACTGTACCAACGATATTTTTTTGGGAATTGCATTGATTTTGGTAAAGTTCGGCCATACTGTTTCTTCGTAATTAAATTTAAATTAAAAAAAAAAATGACAAGTTTTAATGAAACTTTGTATAAGGATTGACTTTGTAGTCTGAAAAAATATACTATACTATATAATAGTTAAAATATTATAAGTCTACGCAAAACGGTTGAATTATAAAAAATCATCAACGTTTAGAATTTCGCCGTATGCTTGAGCGATTCTAATCAGAATCTATGCCGAAGAATATTTATGTCAGTGGTGTTTCGTAGGTATCTACTGATTATAGTTGATGTCCACACTTCAATAAAATGCATTTTTATAACACGAAATAGTTGAAATGAAATGTGTTAAACAAATTATACAATTACAGATCGAAATAACAGTTCAAAAATTTGTTAGAGAAAGTAAATATGTTATTTTCGTAATAACAGTTGTACTTTTCACCTAAATACCTATCGGGAGGTTAATGCTTCACATAAGGCAAAATGCTACTTACAACTAGTCTTGCTATTTTTTATAAAAAAACAGCGTAAAAACCCTTCGAAAAGATCAAAAAAACTCTATGAATGAAATAAAAAGATAATATTAACTTTCAATAAGCTTGTATTTAGTTCGCAATCAATTAATATCCAATTAATATATTAAATTTATTAATTGAGCTTACAATAGCTTCTGAGTCTCTTTTTTAAAATCTGAAGTTCAAGTCAAATTACTGGTTACAAAAGCAAAATGGCATAAAAAAGTAATAGATAATGTTTTATATTTATAATAAACTTTATTTTAGGTCTTATTGTCAAATGCGACAGAATACTATTAAAATTATGAAAAATATAAGGAACAAATTCTCGGATAAAATATTTGCTATGTATTTTCTCACAAAACGCACAAAATCTTACTCACAAAAACGCACAAACGCTAAAGAATATTTTGATCGTAAGTGCTTCTTACGATAAAATAACTTGACTATCTTATAACATGACTATCTTATAACATGACTTTCTTATAACATAACTAATTTTATCGCAAGTGCTTCTTTTTGAGATCTTACTGATAACACATGCGCGAAGTTAGGTTTTAAGTATTTAAGTGTTCATTAGTACCAACTCATACGAATAGAGACCTGTAACATCGCATTATTGTAACATGCCTATTTTATCCGAGAATTGGTCCATAAAATTTTCTTTAAGAATCCCATTTATCCAACGAATCCATTAATAACCTGAACGTATTTATAGCTGCATAAATGTAAATACATGTCTATTATGTCATAAGTATAACTAGTGGGGCGCATGACATCGCGCCTTAAGGCAAATTGCTGGTACTTCCCCGTAGCAAAAAAATTTTTTTAAGAAAGATTAACATTTATGAAAAAAAATTACTCTGAAAAAATTAGATTTTTGAGAAACTATAAATTTTTGACAAAAATTTACTTTTTTTTTGAAAAAAAAAGACTTTTTGAAGAAAAATTTATTTTGAAATATTTTGGAAATTCTGAACTTTTTTTCAAAGCAATTGTACTGCTTTAACTGCATAGAGTCGAAATATCGAAACGAGTAAGCGCCGCGTCTTCATCTAACGGATAAACATTGGTACAGAATCCATAGGAATGTACTTATACTTATTCTAAATCTCTATTAAATATCTGTTAATTTGATGTGCGTATGTCTAATGATCATATTTTTTTTACTTTTTTACCAGATCTCCGAAACCGCTAGACCTGCCTTCATGAAAACTTTATCAGTTCTTCTTCTTGTTAATACAAGTAAAATGTTTCTTCAATTATTCAAATCGGACGCTCCGTTCTCTTAAAAACTGAGTTACCGTTTTTAGCACTTTTTGCCCAATATTTTCGGAACGGCTAGACCTAACTAATCAGCACGTCTTCTTATAAATACGAATCGAATGTTTTTTTAATTACTCAAATCGCTTCATCCGTGTTCCCGAAATCGTCGACGAAAATTTGTATCCGCACACACATACATACACGCACACACACATACATCCATTTTTTCTAAGGTATGCCAAAATGTTCATAAGGTTGTGAAACGTAAAAATATATAAAAATTTTCATTTTCTATTTTTTTATTATATTATTTTACTATATTTACTAAAACTTGCCCTACGGGAAACTAATAATTAATAAGTTATAAAAAAATGTATTACGAATTTAGTTTAATTTATATTAATATTCCTTTTTCTTTTTAGAGGACATTGGAAAAACAGCCAAGAAACCGCTGAATATAGAAAATTGTGCTCAAAACGAGACTGTTAGCGACATCCAATACGATCTCGTTGAACTGTTACAGGTACCTACCATACTTTGTTCGAGTTTAAGATATATCAAAATTATCTACATATTTTAGTGATGTTATTTGATTATAATTCACTATTTAATTAAGTGTTATGTATTTTCTTTTGCAACCTTGGATCCGCTATTCAAATAATTCAACGGAACACAACAATTTCACATTCATATTTAAATAGATATAGATATTTAAAATAACTTCAGACATCTTTTTTAAAAAAAAAAACGCTTGCCCTTATATTTGACGTATAAACCTAGTTCTATTTACCTTATTTGTCAAAGCATTTTTTTAAATATTTATGAGTTATATAATGAAATTAATGAAGTACTAGAGTTATTACTATTCCGCCTATGGTTATTAAGTATTATATTTTATTCTTTCGACATCCATCTTGAACAGCCTTTCATTAAAAATTTAGATCTCAAATATGTTTATCATATATATAATGTGGAAACTGTCCTTCTCCTTGATTACTGCATTAAATCAAAAATATTTCATATTTATTAGAGAAATGCTAAATGAGAAATGTATCAATTTGGATCATAGGTTCCCATACTTATTTGTGCCATGGACGCCTTGCGATGTTTTTCGTTTTGTTATGGACCCTTTATATTTTCCCGGTTTCGCCGCTAAACAGTCCCTGATTTTACCTTGTAACCCTGGTTTTTCTAAAACCAATATTGGTCCACTATTCGAAAAGTATAATCAAACCTTCGTAATTGCTTGATAATAAAATTGCAAGTACGCATCAAATATCTGGAAATGATATATACAATGAGTATGCTTATATAAATTAATACGCTATGAATTAAAAAATTTACCGAATGCAAAATTCCAAAGGCGGATTAGATTACATTAATCTGTATCTGTTAAATATTGAATGTAAGTTTAATTGCAGACACCTTCAATTATTTTGAGGCAGATTGTTTAAAACAAATTCCTTCAAATTGCGCCTAACGAGAAGAAAATTTTATTTTAGATTTTTTAAAAGAGATCCAGGCCAAAGTATCTTGCTGAGTGTTGATATAATCAAAGGTGCGGGAAAAGTTAAATATTATAAAAATATTTTTGTTACACTTTGTTAAATTGTCTGTTAAACATTTATTTTTAGTATTTCTAAATTCTGATATAGTCTCTAAAAGCGCGAAAAATCTAGCCAAAATTAAGCATTTTAACAGCTAGCTTATATAAAACTTGCACGTTTTATATACATATGTAATGTTTTTCTTTATTTTTTGGTTTATTTCAAAATATGCCGCAAACTCTCATTTTTATTTTGAGTATAAAAATTTCTTCGAATTGAAAACAATGCATAAGTGCTGTTATTTTTGATTCTTTACAATGAAGAACACTAGTAAATAGTAATTTTTTTTTTCTTAAGAGGCTATTAAGTAATTCGAGGCCACTGATTTCTAAAAAAAGTATCAGATCTTTGCTAATAGCTAATTTTCGAGATATACTGATGTGCTAATTTTCCCTCAAATTACTACTATTTTATTTATGCCTTCGGTAATCATTTTATATAATTTTTGTGCGTGGACAAGACCTGACTGATTTTGTCATAAGCTTCAACAATTGTCAGCCATCATGTAGACGTCCAACCTCCCTAAAGTCTTGCTCTTTTGGTGAATTTGCTCGCCTGCTCTTCGCTAAAATCTCCGATATTTTCTAAAAACTGTTCTAAATAATAAATGAGAGCGTGGGTAATAAAATTTGATGCATCCTAGAACTTTTAAATTTGGGCATCATCAAATATATCCGTTTTTAACACCGCCCTCTCTTTCAACGCTGGTTTTTTAATCATTAGTTTTAATAGGAATCATGCAGCTCATCGTAAATAGGTCCAAAGACCTTTGAGTTTGTGGGGTATGGTATGGCCATTTGCTTCTATTGTTTGAATTTATTTCATTGATATTTATCACACAGAAGAAACAACCTTTGCCGTGATTCTGAGGTTTTTTCTAAATGACTGGGTACTTAAAATTATAGCTTTCTTAACAATAACGTAAACACACTGCGCTATTTTCGTATATAGTATGAAAAACTCATGCTTTTATCTAGATTTCGCAATTCAATTATAAAGTGGTTGAAATACGCTGTCTTTACGCAGTTCGATTATAGGTTTTTGGTATTCCAAAACATATTAATCACAGATGTAACAAAATCTATATAGATTATGCACACAGCGTCTTAGAGTCGAAGCTGTACCGAAAAACGTAGATAACTATTAGTTATTCGTTATATAATACTTTGATAATAATAATCAAAGTGATTAATAAATAAGCATATATATATATATATACATATATACATATATATATATATATATATATATATATAACAATAAGCGATGTATGTGAAATTAAACAATGTTGTCTATTTCAAACATTATAGCAATATTTGAGGGAGAAGAGTTTATTGCGGTCTCAGAGTAAATCTTCGGTAAAGACCCAAACTGATATGGATGTAAGCAATTTAACCGAATTCGTAGCAACTGAAACGCAAACATGCAATGAAGTTGTCTTTGACGCAGCTGCTTCTATGATAATTGATGTAAGTAAGTTACTTAGATTACTTAGATTTTGAAGGCAGAAATTTATATTACTAATAATTCTGCAGGATCCAAAACAACTGAATTTAAGAATGATATTTGACTTTACGAATGAATTGAGACACACACGAAGTATTCTTTTAAATTTGAAGAAGGACCAAGACCTTGATCCAGAAAAGTATGACATTTCATTAGTCTTTGGTCTGTATTAATTTTATTAATTGTATAATTACTATTCTAAACCTAAAATCAGCGCAGCTGCTAGTATATATATAAAATGAATACTTATTTTTCCATACTTACAAATACTGATTTAGTCAAAAGTGTATGAAAACGTATTTTATTCTGGATATATTAGACATATCATTTTTTAAAGAGTTTCTTATAGGGAATTTTGGGCAGTATGCTTAAGATATGTTTTTCATTTATGTCTTAATTCAATCAACAATTTTTCATATGCAATTATAATTCTATAGAAGAACAGAAAATTAATCTATATAGCGCCAGCCAAAAATTCTTTTGGAAAACTACTTCTACCAACAATTTGCCAGTATAGACGTAATCGAAACAAGTTAATACTATACAAAGTATTGCGACGTTTCAAAATGCTGTGATTTTGAAGTCAATAACTTATGGGCCGATTCTGCCGCACAAAAGACCAATGTTATGGCAAGGCCATGTTACGCTCTAACTGGCTACTGAATCATACTGAATACTGTCAAAATGTCATGTATTTGCTGTGCATTCAGTTGTTTTGCACATGAACTGCATCGTCACTTGTTTGTTATGAAGCTGGATCAGATAGACCCTGTTACCTTCGTTTTTTTTGACATTTGTGCGGGTTCTAGGTTAGGTGTTCTATCTGACAACCTGAGAAAAACGCCTGATTGCACAGCAACCACGTGGCTTTTGTCAATATTTAGAATGATTTAGTATGGAAAGGTTTTCCTAACATAGCCTTGCCATAACATTGGTATGTATTTTACAGGCATACTACAACCAAGTGTAGCCGAAATTGTTGTTATTGTTATACTTTATCTTAACTTTAACAATATGCGAAAAACATCTAGGAGGGTTTGCGATTAATTTTTCTGATATGTAACATGAAATTTAAAAAAATCGGCAATGAATTACTTATAAGATAAAACCACTTATATCTCATAATAAAATAGTCATCCCTAGAACCTTTTTTCCTTTTGTGTTTTTTATTCAAATTCAAAACTTATAGGCAGCAATTGGTCGAATCCTTGCACGAATCTCTAGAAACCAACATACATCAATTAACAACATGCATTAAAAATATTGAGAGCATTCCATCACGGTGCGATATGTTAAAAAATAAGTTAAAATTATCCAAAAAGTATATCATGGAAAAAGAAAATGAAATCCAAGAACTTAAAAAAGAGAACAGAATTTTGCAGGATAAGGTATGATTATTAATAAGGAGATTTTAATTTTTTTTAGTTTATTAGTCTGTAACATAATTAGTTTAGGTCGCTGACATTACGAAAAAGTTTGAAGAATCAACTCGGTTAGTTGTAGAGAGTGACAAGGTCTGTTGTGAATTACAAGATACTATATCTAGATTGAAAGTTGAAGTTATTAGATTGAAGGATGCCTCGAGATATCTTACGGAAAATAACAAGAAGTTAAAGTCAAGTGATGCGGATAATGAAGTTATGGTATGTCTATCAAAATTAAATCGAATATAGTCAAAGAACAATTCTATTTCATATACTATCAATATAAATATTTACAATAAATAATTTCTTTAATAATGATTTGATTTTGTTCTAATTGAAAAGAATTTGGTTAAGGTTTGTCATAATTTACTGTGCGTAATTTTAGAAAGATTCGTTTTACCATTTTATTCCCATAATATATTTCAAGGCATTGTAATTGTAATTAATAATTTATTTATTAAAGATGTATAATCGTTAGTATTATCTAGGTCTTGCCTATTCTTTACAGTTTTTCTTAAGATTTATAATTCTTAATCTATTTTTTCAATTGTTTTATAAGACAGAGCGCGGCACAATGGATCAATTTGACTTTCAATAAATATACTGTCTAAACTAAATGAACTTTATTACAACATATAATACATATGGAACAATCAAGTATCGAATTATGTGCAATAAAATTATCGGATAATTCTAAATTATAGAAATAAGGTTTTTCGCTATTTTTTTTTATTTTCTCTGTCCCTTTTTATCTCAGACTAAAAGAGGTCCAAAGTCTTATTTTTAATTTTAAAGAGATTTTACGAAACAATGTAACCTTCATCATGTAACCAATGCAAAATACAAATTTTATAAGCACATTTAAGATCACACTGTGTATAACTCTGATCTAGTATCTAGCATCAAAAATATTTATCAGCAGAGTTGGAACAACTATTAATTTAATTAAGGGGATCTCCTCATCAGTAGCTTACAAAAAATGGATTTTTCGTATTTTTTTTGAACATGAAAACAACAAGAGAAACAAAAGATCTTTTGCATAGTTTTGAACACATATTTATTCAACAAAATAAAGTTTATTGTATGTCAAAATAAATAAAAATGGCTGATTTATAAACAATCTTGCGCAGCAGCTCGCGATTGACAACTCAAACTGCGTGCAAGGTACAGCCCGTAATTTTTATCTGAAACTAAAAATGGAAATACTTCTTTATTCAGAAGGCTTTTCTGCACATCATAGACTATTATGGCGGCTTAAAGTTGAAATTTAAACATTTTTAACTTTTTTTTAAAAAAAGTACTGGATTTTTAGTAAATCTTAAACTAGTTTGAGTTGGACTCTCAAACATTGCAAGAATATTCTTAAATAATAAATCTAACGATTGAAGCAAAAAAAAATCGATTTTTTGAAACTGACTGATGAGGAGACCCCCAGGAGAGTGGTTTTTTTGGCTTAATTTACGTTTTATATATAAGCTTTATAGAAATTAAATAAAAGACTATTGAATCTAACTTAAAAGTAACAAAACATCATATAAAACAATTAAATAACGCCTGTTCCAAAAAATTATATTCAGATATCGTAAACTAATAACAGAACCAAAAAACTGCCGACTACTTTAAAATAGTATCGTTAAAAAAATATTCTTACTTGGTTTTAATAAAATGGTGGTGGACCTTTAAGCCCCGCTTTACCCTAAGGACTGCAATAGTCGAGTAAATATGGCGATAATAACTCAAGGAATTTTAATATTTAATTTGTGATTATAGTTTCCCAGTAATCATTCTCAACATATTTAATTTAATAATAAAAGACATAATGTTTTTACTTTATTAGAATATGAAGCTGCGAATAAACAATTATATACTGCATTGAAACAGAAAAATATTGCTCTCAATGAGCAGACGATGAACCTAAATCAAATGCTATCTCTGAATAAGGAACTTCAGCAAAAGTAAGTTGTTGCATGTTCAATTTATCATATTATAATTTTAAAACAATTTCAAGAGTTTAACCGTACGTGAATAAATGCCTATAGGTCTTGTAGCAAAGAATATATCAATATTTGAAATATCAAATCATCAGAATTATTATAAAGTTCTGTGCTAGGCTTACAATTCATTATGTACCAATAACTGAGTATTTGAAATTCAATTCACATTTTCACATAATATTCATTGTACATTTATGTACAAAATCGGTTTTTAAACGTTCTAGAATTTGCCCTAAGGCACAATCAGTATAGGGTTATAACCGATTTGATAATTGCTAGTTAAGTGATTTTTAATAGAGTTTTTTTGATTAAATTAACCTATTTTGTTGTTAAAAACTATTAATCATCGTTTCTTGTTAGATTATTTCGTGCAGAGACTTTGAACTTAAATAAAAGTTCTATATTGAATACCTATAAGGAGAGAGCTCATGTTTCGCAAAGACAGTTATCTGAAACTAAGGATGAATTAAAAACTGTGAAAAACTCGAAAAGTTCATTACAATGTCGTCTGAGCAAATTAGAAGTTAATATACAACGAACGAAAGGTAAAATAAAGCATTTTGATATGAGCACCCAGTGCGATGAACCTATGTCGGTGGTAGACAAATCTGTTACATGTTTGGAAATGAAAGAAATTTATTGTCAGGTAAATAAATTTTAAATTTTGTTATGTTGAACTTGTCTAGTTTTTACGCTGGAGATAAAATTGAAGTATAACTTTGCACCAATAACACTGGTTCACAAAATAAAAAAAATGGCTGCATTGGATGTGCAACATATGTTTCCCGATATAGTTTTTAGCGCTGAAGACAAAACTAAAACCAAAATTGGAGGTGAAATCGCAAAAAATTGAAAAAAAAGGATGAAGAAATGATTAAATCTCCGATCTAGTAATTCTTTTGCATAATAATCAAAATCTTGTAATTTCAGTCGTTTCCGGCCCTTTTTACCTTGAATGAATATTGAGTTTCAATTAAATGATCCATTTATTTGTGTAATTCAACTGTAATTTGCAAACATATTTATTCCCCATTGCTCCTGGGTAATCTGCAACCATGTTTGCAATTCGAATATCTGAAAAGTACTGCTGCATTATATCAAACTAAAACTTGAAAGTTAAAAGTTGAAAGGGCAAGGAATTTTTTTTTTTTATTAACTCTTTTATTTACAACTGTCCAGTATAGGACATTCAGTAAATTTAATGGATTTACAATAGTCCGCCGAAAAGAACATTGTATACTACTTTGACATGTTGGAAAAAACAACTCAGTAGTTGTTTTTTCGATATAATATTCACAATATTTACTTATTAAATAATTTCTTATAAATAATGATTAAGTTATTAGGGCAAGGAAATGACAAAAATTATAAGATTTACAGCAGACTTTTTTACAGATCGAAGATTTTGTAGTTTTTTTTTTAATTTTTTGTAATTTTTTGCCATTCGGCCCCCAATTTTACTTTAGATTCATGTTTATCCGAACGCCCAATACAGACAACTTTGTTTATTTTGTTGACCTGTGTTTAATTACGAACAAAATTTGTTAGTATCAATATATTATCCATAATTAAGTTTTTTGTAATCAAACTATATAGTATGTCGTTCACCTTTACTAAATCCAATTTGTTTATATCTCCAGTATAAAGGATGGATTAGATGATTGTCTAGTATATTATCTTTGCCTAATATATCGATATATATGTTTATGTGAAATACGTGAATTAACCTAAAAGAGACATTTTCAGTCAAGTTTAAAACTTAATTGTTATATTTAACTTTATTTTTTATCGAGATACGAGTTTACACTTAGAATAAGGAAGAAGGCAGTCTTTTAAGTCAGAGTTGTTATAAATATTCAAAATGAATTTTTAATATTTGATAGTGATCCTAGTATTCATTAGCTTTCTTCAGTTTGTAGGACATATAATGAAATTTTATTGAAACCTATGACACACTCAATTGAATTTTATTCAATTACTTTTGGATAATATTGTAATGGCTAATTAAATTCAGAACCATTGGGAATTGATCTCTTTGCATATTAAGATTTAAAATCGCATAGTTGGCTTAAACTCTTAAGTTTTTAAGTTCGAGTTTAACCGTTGGTAACCCAAAGTATTTGAATAATAATTTGTTTAGATTAGTCAATTGAAATTTGAGTTGAATAATTTTCACTCAACAGTTTAAAATAGATATGTGAGAAAAGACCATTTTATAATTGGACCCTTTTTCATCGCTAAAATTACTTCATCGTCAAAATTTTTGGCTAATATTTTTCCAATTCAATATGTACCCACCTACTGCAATTTATTCTGATGCTAATGTTATACTATACTGTTATTAATAATTGCGTATGAGCAGCAGCTATATTAGTATTTTAATATCATTTTTTTATTATTTTAATTTCAGTGTCATTTTCTCGCCCTTTTTTATATCGGATTAGACAAACCTCTATAAATTTTAAACATTTTTTTTTTCAAATATAATCAGAAAAAAATCTGTAAACTTTCGTATAGATTCAAAACAATTTTTCATGTACCTTCAATATGTTGGAGATAAACATTTTTTCATATATAGAATATTTCAATCTCCAAAATCACTGTGTTTTTCTTTATTTAGACTGAAATAATATCTAGTGAGCTAGATGAGCAATTAACCGAATATCGTACAAAATACACGGAATTTCAAGCTTGGCTTGTAAAATCGGAATCCAAACTTCATCAATACGAAATAATGTTGCAACAATTTTTAACAAAAGTGGCCTCTCGAAAGGGAGAGCAAAATCAGCATGATCAAAAGAATAAAAATCATTCTAGAAGCGAAGCTGCATATAGCGCATGTGAATTACTCGAATTAACTCCTGCTGAAATAGCTCAACTTTATGATACGAATAAAACAGGTGAAAGTGGCGATTTTAAATCATCATCAGTTCAGGTAATCTTTTATTATTTAAACACTATTTAGATATGAATAAATATGAAGTGAACTATGAAATACCTGGAAACTCACATACATTAACCGTATGATGATCTATAAAGGTATAAAATAACATACATGATGACCAATTTTTGTTCAATTAGCATTTATAAATAAACTATGTCGTGACGTCGCTAAAAATAGAAAACGCGCTAAATCCTATTTGCTTGGTTTTTGAGTTAAAAAACATAATTTAAAAAAAATATTTGCCCTTTGATTTTGTTATGATGAAAACTAGACTGGATTAAAAGAAATAAACCATAGCTATAAAATTAATTGATATCGTCGCGTTAAAGTTACCAAAAGTTACCCAACCACCTTTGTAAAAAATGAAAAATACACAATCAAAATTTTTACCAACTTCATTACTTTCAACAGGAACATTCATTGTTAATCTGATCATTTATTCTATTGAAAAACAATGCCAAATGTAAAGTCTTTTTCTTACCTGTTTTTCATGTTCGGTTATGTTACATAATATACTAGGTGTTTCAGAACATAACTGAAACCCGTTTCAGGTGATGATATTGACCGTATCCATTCTGAAAAAAAATTTTGAAAAAAAAATTATATCACGTTGTTTATAAATTGTGAATTTTGGGACCGTAACCGTGAATAATAGTACTACAGTCATAACCATAATGGCACCACAGTCAAAAATTACCATTTTACATGTTCCAAAACTTTTGATGAAACTTTCCAGCACACTTTAGTACATTTTTCTAAAGAGATTCCTCTCAAAATCGATCGATTTATGAAAATTTAAATTCATAGTTTAGAGTCTCAGTTGTTAAAAACTTGGCGCAATTGTGTCATTATTTTTTTACTGTGATCCAGAAAAGGCTGTTTACGGTTGCGTTTCCTACATTTAAATAAATAAAGGCAATGAAAATTAACCACAATAACCAAAATATGGTCACAATTTTACGAAAGCTCTATGCTGCACTTAAAAGCTCATAATTTTCAAACAACTTGAGATAATTTTTTTGGAACACTTAGGTCAATACTATTATCCCGTTTTTGGTTTGACAGCGAGTTCCGGGACACCCTGTATATTTTGCTTATACAAAGCAGCTCAATTTTGGTTAATTTTAAAAAATTATACAAATATACATTCGTAAACCTCACAGACCTAAAATAAAATTTGTTTACGTTTTTATAAATATTACCTAAAATACTCACCTTAATGTTAATTTGTTAATTTTTTGTGGCTACATTTGAACTGTTTTAGTTCAATTCAATTTTTTAGTTTATTTTTTTATTAATATTCCTGATGACAAGTGAATTTGAAATTACACATTCAAATATGTATTGTATATAAATATATTTATAACGTTGAATGTTCGTAACGTTATGATGAAACCTATAATAAACTTTTATATTAATGAATAATAGATAAATGTAATAAGCTTAAAGTTTATATATTTCTAAATATTAAATCATTTCAAAAACTTTAATTTTTGATAATTCAAAGTACCACTATATGTAAAATAATTATAATAAACGTTTACACATTTTTAGGTGAATGAATGGATGATAACTATAAGAAACATCACAAAATGCCCAATATTTAGCGAAGCTCTCTCATGTTATTTGTACAAGATTGTGATGCAGTATCTTGCATTATGAGGACTGGAACTTACAAAGTTGAAAGTAGAGATGAAACATTTATTAATCATTTAATAATCATTGTTACATATTTCCAAAACCGTTTTATTGTTATTAGATTTATACAAATGTTTTAGGCTATTTTGTTTTAAACTATATTTAAATACTGGAGGAGTGTCAGTAATACATAAATGAAAATGATCCAAAAATATTGTCCATATTTTTATACCTTTTATAGTTACTTAATTGTACATCCTTATTGTTATTCCTTTGTCCTTTTTTATCTAAAATATACCT